CCATTTATGTAGCTATTTTTGTAGTGATCAAATCTCCAGCATACAGAGAATCACTGCATGGTGCTAGTCAGTGCTTCCTTTCACGATCTTCAGAATACTAAAGTCTGATCTCTAGGTAAGCATCAGAAAAATCATGACATTCAGCATTATTAAAGACACGACTGACAAATTAAGTGTCACAATAACCACGCCATGTGAATTAGTTCACTCAGATGATCAAGACTTTAATCTGAGATTTCTAAGACAAAAATCATCAAACCTCTTCCACACCTCCTTTGCCAAATCTCCCATTGTTTGTCAATGCAGCAATAAGGAATGAAGGCAAAGGGGAGCAAGGCATTGTTCAGTCCTGGGTCTGGTTAGGAGGCTAAGGGAACTTACTGAGGACTAACACTGCCAAATCCCAAGGAAAGTATCTCCACAGAGACCAGATCAGTTAAAACAAAAGTTTGGTTTGCTTATTCAAATATCTATTTACATTACCATGTTCAAACAGCTCACATACATGGGCATAGGTACAGTACAAAGAATTGTACATCTATCAAACCAAAATAGAACCACAGAACAGCTGAGGTTGGCAGGGACCTCTGGAGGTCATCAGGTCCAACCTCTCTGCTCAAGCAGGGCCACCCAGTGCCAGCTACCCAGGACTATGCCCAGGCAGCTTGTTAATATCTCTAAGCAGGGAGACTACAACCTCTCTCAGTAAACAAGTGTTTCCTGATGTTCAGACAGCATTGTGTTTCAGTTTGTGCCTGTTGCCTCTGGTCCTGTAACCAGGCACCACTGAGAGCCTGGTTTCCTGTCTCCAGGTACTCAAATATGTTGCTGAGATCCCCCCCTTTTCTCCAGGCTGAACAGTCTCAGCTCTCTCAGTCTTTCCTCACAGGAGAGATGCTCCACTCTCATCATCTTTGTGGCCCTTTGTGGCACACACATGTCAGCTCATTATGTATTTACTGCTATTCATTATCTTGGGTTTCTGGGTTCTTCATTAATTTACTTTTCATGACTTGTATATGCCAAAAAAAGTTAAGGAGGTTATTTCTGGCATTAGAAAAAAAAATTCACTTAAGTCTTAGCAGTTCAACTCTAGACTTCTAGAACAAGTATCATCCTGCAACTTTAAGCATAACACAGAAGGTATCAGACATGAATAGCAAGTAGAAACCTTAAAACCTTGTCATCAGATCACCTGTGCAAGCACTGCTCCCATAGGTCTTAGCTAACAGTAGCCAAAGGTTTAAGAAAAAAGAACCTTGTGGCATTTGTGGTTTTGTCTTTTAAGACAAACAGCAATTTCATAATCATAGAAGAAACAGAAGAATTTCTAAGAAAAAGATAAATATTAGTACTATATCAGTTACCAAGTGCAAATTCATTGGAATTGAGAATGTTTTTAAATATATTTTTCAGTTTCACAATTAAGTGAGCCATGAGAGCACCAAACAAACATTAAGATAGCTTAGTCCCAAATTAAAGGACAAAAGCTTTTGAACCATTCAGGCAAACTAGTGTGATCACTCCACCTTTCATTCAAAGTACTATGATTTAAATAAGACTTAAGTATAAAAATAATGGATCAATTTTAGTTACATCCAAGTCTCAGATAACTCACTTTTTGCTAATTAACTTAATTCTAAAAGTTGTTAAAATTTAAAATATAAAGTTTCCTTCCTTTTTAATATGTTGTTCACATCCCACCTCAGGTTTTACCTTTTATTTTTCCCCTCCCTACACTGTTGTTCAATTAAGGCTTTCATCTTCAACACGCCACGTATGTCAAGACCAACCTAGATGCAAGACCTGCACAAGAGCTGGTTCCCTCAGGAAAACCACAAAGGTTGGCACTTCATAGTAGAGACATTTTTAGAATCCAGTGGAAGTACATTAAGAAAGAAACAAAGGTTTAGAGGAGTAACAGTATCAAACGTGAAAGTGTTTTGGAGAATGTGGAAGTTTATAAAAAAATCTCCTTGCTTTGGAGGGTAAGGAAAGCCAGCACACAGCAACTGAACTGATAGCAGTCTAAAATTTAGTTGTCCCTTATTTGTTTAAGCAATTTTTAGAGAGGCTGAAGAGACTGAGGAGCTATATTAGAGGGTAGGGAAAGCAAGAAAAAGGAGAGGAATAGTGACTTTCCCATTCATACCCTTATGAAATCCGCAGGACAGCAAGCAGGGCAGGGAAAAGAAGAGGGAAACTTAGTTCAGTGAATGAATTTAGATAATGGACAATAATATTTTGTACAATACACAAGTGCTCTTCCAGTACAAAAGTCACTTGAATTCATATTTACACCACATATAGGTACTTGATGTTCTATAGACTCTAAGGTTAAGTTGCTCATGAACAAGACAGGTAACCTCTAACGAGGACTGCCAGCCAATGGGCCCCTCTACAGTACAGAAAGTAAGTCCCAAACCTTGGGTTACGCAGGTATATCCATGTGCAACAATTAGCTGTATGTATACACACATCTCCCACTAAAACATTGACAGGGTCCTTCTCCTGAGGCCAGGCAACAGCAGCTGCACTCTACTATACAGCACTTAACCTTCCACCTCCTCTGGGCTCCATGAGACACATTCATAGCCTGAAGACAAACACTTAGGTGGGGACAGGAGTTACTCACATTAGTTTCTCTTCAGATTGCCAAACAGAAAGCTGTAAGGGGCATTTTCATAACAGAAAATTAAGAGTATGTGGTGCTTTCCTTTAGTAAAAGGTACAGGCATTATCCCTTCTGGGATACTCTGGCAATAGAAGGAGTAAACCTTGTAGTTTTGCCTGTATCACCTATTAGAAATGACTCCTGGAGCTTCCCATACAGTGTGCAAACACTGTCCACAACCTGAAGTAACAAATGACCTTGTTACATTTTTTTTCCTATACTGAAAGAAGAGTTTTTTAGTTTTATACAATGGCACATTAATTCATGCGGTGATACAGCAACAAAAGGCGGGTAGTCAAATCTAGGTTTTCCCCTCTCAGCTGCAGAGTAACAGTTGTGTATAACACAGTAAACATTTCAGCAGATCAGGTCATGCAGTTAAATCAACTGGTGTGAATTAGGAGCATTGGGAATTAGAGTTCCCTTGCTCCAACGCAGCAGTGTTAAATATACACATGCCTACCTGCCTCTCACCATGAGGAATGTAAACCACTGGATTTATTTTTATGAGAAACCTATGTAACCTGTTATGATAAAAACCAAAGTGTTCCTGACTGGTACCTCCCTACTCTGCATTTAACCATATTAATAATGTCTTTTAAAATATTAAGTTATCTAAGTTAGACATTGCTGAATGTCTAAAGAGAAATTGACCTGAACAAGTTGCTTTATCAACACCCCTAATCAAATAAACAATTTGTACAGAAACCGGCTGTCCAACCAAGTGAGGTTCTCTCACATCTGCAGTAGTTCAAATATGTCAGACAAATGAAAATCCTGAAGATAAGAACCTAATATGGGATATTTCAGAAGACATTATATTCAGAATCACAGTATAAAGCAGCAGAGTGCTCTAATAGGTAGGATCATGAACTAAGGCCACCCTGGCTCTGTGCTTTCTGCATAAAGCAATTTTCCTCTTTATTTCTTTTACCAGAGTCTTTCCTAACTACCTCACATACTTCAGGAATCTATTCAAGCAAGAATTTGCTATTTTACTAAACATTTATGCAGGAATTAACACAGTGGGAACTTAATTTAGTTCTGATCTCTAGGCTAGTGGAATAGTAAAACATATGCATACAGTAATAAAATAAATGTCTTCCCTTCTTTTAAGAATGATTTAAAAAGAGAAACAAGTGTGTCCTAGTTAGAACAGCTGGGACCAGTTCATCACTGGATGGGCATAACCCAAAACTGTGTATTCTATAGCCTTCCATGCCATTTCCCAGAAATAGTTATCAATAGACTATTTACACCCTCTGCCCAGAGCAGCCTGACTCCTCAGGCTCTAAACTGGGTGTTAAGAGGCCTGTGAGATGGGAGGATGGCCCCTGTCCTCACACCCACTGTGGAACTCCCCGCCATGAGGGAAGTACTGGGCATTCCTGCCTGAACTGGAGAATATATAATCTTGGAGTCTTGGAACTTTTTTAACCACTCATGGGATCCAGAAGAAGACTGCAGACCACCACTCTCAGCCAGACTGCAACCACCACCCTCGACCAGACTGCAGTCACCACTCTTGACCAGACTGCAACAGCTCTCTCACCAACAGGTTTTCTCCTCTCCTTTTACACTTTGGACTCAGGGGGCCCAAAGAACACCACTCTGTTCATGCCCCAGGGTGCCGGGTTTTGTGGGTTAAAACCAATTGTTTGTCTGTATAATCGTACTTACTGTATTATTTTATTAAATTGTTATTCTGACTTATAATCTCTCTTTTGAGTTGGGTTCATTTCCCCTGCCGGTTTACCTTTAAACCAGCACAAAGTGTTATTCAGATTCTGCTAAGCTAACCATGTGTTCAAGCAAACTTAAAATAATGCCCTATGTATTTTACAAGCATATTCTTTCCTTAAGACAGCATTCATACTGTGTTATTAAAAAAAAAAAAGAAAATAAAAAAGAAGAAAAGACAAACAATTAGTACCAAAATTTCTCACATACATTCTCTTCTCTTCAGATATCTTCCTTCTACTATCATTGGCTGTTATCAAATTACATTTGTATAGTTAACTCGTTTGTGAGACACCTGAAAACATTTAGGTTTAAGTAATGACAAAAAAACTGAAATGTGTAGAACACAAAGAAGTCTCAGTGGGTTATTAACATCTGTAACAAGCTTTAGATATTCCAAAAAGCTGGCAAAAATTCCCAAATAAGCCATCTTCTCCCCTGGAAATAAAACCATGGTTAGTAGAATTCAAATACTGTAATGTTATGATACAACTAGAAGTATGGCACATGTGCACCATTACCAAGGAACTCTTAAGCAGTAGCATTCTTGTAAAAGCAAAAAAAAAAATTTAGAATGGAAACTTACTTGTGCATATTTTCCACTCCTATTACGATCATGATATAGTAGGAAATTCCACTTTGTATAACAAAATGTAAGGCATACCTAGGGGAAAAAAACAAGCACCCTTACAGCGTTTTCTTTAAAGGCAATAAACTGCATGCATTTATTTAATGTGAAATTAAAGAGGTTCAAAGTTTAATCTCCCTTTAACATAGCACAGACAGCAGCAATGAACAAAAACTACAGACTTAGCTAGAATGCTTCAGCTCATAAACAATCATATAGTTAACGTTGATAATCCTTAAAATACAGAGAATATGTGTCATAATACTTCCACTTGGCATTATTTCCTGTGTAAATAACATGAAAGTTTTCTGGTTTAATTTCCATATGCATCTTTTTACCCATTAACAACAACAGGCTCAGATAAGCCACAATATCAGCATATGGTAAGATTTCCCAGTCAACAGAAATGGTGACCATGTCCAGCCAGTCTCTTTGTCCTGAGTTGTCAATAACTAATAAAGGCATACCAGTGATGACAGTCTCAAAAACACAAACAAAAAAACCCTACACAGTAACAACCCACAGATTTTTTCATGAAGGTGCTCTAATCTCTTCTTATTTCTTTTCCACAGCTATCACAACCCCATTGCTTTGGGGGGTTGTTTTGTTTTTCCAAGGAGTTATACTTCAGTAAGCTGTAGAGCCCTGGTAGCAAAGCAGTGCCAGTGGTTGGGGAAAAGAACTGATTCTTGGTAAGTTGAGTCTTTTTCACCCTTGTACTAGAACTGCCTCGGCAGCACACTCACATGTGCTCAAGTGACGCATTGATCTAATTTTGGAATTTTTTCCCCATAAAAAGCTGTCATTATTTTGTTACAGTGATACTGTTTTCTTTCAGCTTATCACCAGCTATTTCCTAATTTAACTCCTCCTCTACTCACAACGAAATGACTTCAAAGACTTTCAACAAGAAACCCAGTTCTTTCCAACTAAAATCCTACAGAGTGTACACATGATGAACTGAGGGGAAACCAGTCACTTGGGCACAAATTGACCTTGAAAATCTTTACTTTTTATGGAAGGTCCAATCTGCACATGCTCCCATGCTTCACCAGTAGCTAGTCTCATCTAAGAAAGGACTACCCAAAATTCAACTACACATTTAGTATAGCAATTGCCAATTCAAAAAGTATTCACCTTCTTTTCTTATCAGCCACATATTAGCAATACTGTGTAGCAAAGACAGGCATTAGTAAAATGACAAAAATGTAAGTTTAAGAATTTGCTTCTTATACAGAGAAAGGAGAATAAGATATCAAAGCCTAAAAGTGCGGATTGACATGGAGTATCATATCAGGATTGCAGTCGCTAAAAACATTTCTCTTTCAGAGTTGTTAACAATAGCAATATGATTGATCTTTGATTCAAACATTAAAGGGGATATATTGAAATACCACATGTAGTAGTAAATTTTAAACATATACAAAGGGTATTCTGGTTCCTTTATGCTATTTGCTATTATGCCAAGGGAATTATTCCTTCTCTTCCTCTCTTACACCCCCATCACAAGTACTACAAAGGCAACTGAAAACTAACACGCTTGAAACTGAAGATGACAATATAGCTACTAATAAACATCCTTAAAAGGGTGCAGATTCCAAACTATTTCCCACATTTAGGTTGGCATGATCTTATCTGCAAATCTACAGTTACTGTTTTCTTATATAGTGTTTCTAGTAACAGTTTCTTTTTTGTTCTATATGTGTTATAACACACATTATGGCACAATCAAAGTGTCACTGAAGGTATAGCACAGGCTTGTAACCTGTATGTAAACTTGATTTCTTGGGGAGGGGAACCAAACAAAACAAAACCCTCAAAAAACCTGCTCATACAATATGTACTTAAATAATAGGAAAAAGCACACAGCACAACACAGATACCAGTTTTTTAAAGAATGTATACTTTTAACATCTCAAATTATGTTCTTTCTTTTCAAGGTTTTTAAAAAGCTTTTAGCTTCATGATTGCAAAATAGAAATTCATTGCTAAAATAATTGCTCTAAGTATGATCCAAACCAAACTAGAATAATCTGGATTTCTACTATGGCATAAAATGTATCTCTTATTTCTTTTCCAGGGCATATTGCCAATGAGAGGCTTCCACAAAAATGTATTTATGTCTGTTGGGAGTGGAGGTTGTTTCTTTCCAAAATCTCCCATACCCAAATTTCACATAAAAATATATTGATAACACTTTCTAATTACAAGTTACAATTAATGATTTCTGCTTCTAAAGCAATGGTTACATAAAGTGCTTCTAAAGCTGATACACCTCTCAAAGAACCCACATATGATAGCACCTATCTCCCATATCATCCTCCTCATTTGGTGCTAATACTGGAAGTCTTTGACATCAGATCTCTCTCTCAAAGCAGAATACCACGGTCAAATGTTTAAGAAATGGATGGGAGTTGTAAAATTTTATATAAAAGTAAACTGCACATGTAAATCTAAAGAATAAAGGTTACTGATTTCTTTTCCTGAAATTAAAAGTAATACATATCAACTAATGTTAAGAGGTCTCTGCAACATGCCAGTATAGAAGCCAACACTCTGTATGTGCATCTTCCCACCTCCACAACAGCTTGATTAATTCCCCATAGCTCAGTAACACTATAATAGCCAACATAAATGAGTCTTCTATACACTTAAAGCCAAGTAAGCATTTTGTTTACAATGCAATAAAAGGAAACTGGCACTTAATTAATCTTAAACTATCTTGGGAAAATGCAAGCCACTTAGTAAGCTATTTTTGAAGGAAAAAATATTCACAAAACTAAATTGATACCCTTTTCTAGCTCTACTAACATTCTGGTTTATAATACTGAAAAGTCAAGATATGCAAACAGCAGACACACAAAATCTGTGTTTGAAAGAGAACCACATCTTTCCTCCAAAACATTAAAGAAAAAAAAAAAGGCACAAAACACACAGAAATTGAGGCCAGCTCATTTCCAGGTGTTTTATACTACTAGGAGTATCATCAGTACCAAGGTTCTGGCCACTCTTCCTACAAAAAGTCTGATTATATTCAATATTCAGAAAAAGACACAGCAAGTTCTCATGTGCTGAGTATTTATGGGAAATTATCTTCGTCATCACACCAGTGCTATGCCTCAAGACAATACTTCTCCAGCAAGTTTACAGGAAAAAGCAGCACAAGTTAAACAAACTGCACCTGCTACCTGCTTCATCTGCCCAAAACCACAGGCAGACAGTATGGTAGTTACCAATTTGCAAACAAAGATCTTTCAAAATTTGTGCACCTCATCAGAAAATTTGAGTTAACTTCTGTACATCTGCAGCAGCCAAAACAACACAGAATTAGATAATAAGGTTCTTTGAAACACAAAAACAAAATTCTACAAGTTTTGAATTTAAGTGCAACTTACCATCCAAAACAAAAAAGTGCAAGATAAAGGCCCAAGAGGGTTGCAACAACATGTCTTATAAATGGGCTAGTTTTGCTTGAATGAAGGTATGTTCGAAACCAAACAGCCGCAAGCAAGGCAAACAGTTGGCACACTACAAAGTTGACCTGCATAAAAAAAGAAAAGAAACAAGTTCTCACACAAATGTGTATTAAAAATTAACAGAAATATCCACACATTTTTAGCAATCTGCAAAACATTTTGCTCTGCCATGGTTCTTCCCCCAGCACATCAGCCTAAATGAGCTCCTCCCATGAGCCCTTCACCTGCTAAGGCACAATAAAAAAGTGTTCCCTGAGCAGCTCCGAGGAAAAGATGTAAGGCAATCTGTGCATAAATCAAGAAAAAAATTCTGTATTTTCCTGTAAATTTTCTAAATACCAAACCACTCTATTAACCATGAAATCATTTCTGCTCTCCAGTAATGTGAAGATCTGGGCTGGGTTTTTATTTGTTTTTTCAAAGTGAGCATGACTTGGAATTACATATCAGCTCTAGAAATCACTGTCAGATCACTACAATGGCCTGTGTAGAAGCAGGGCTCAACAGAGTGCACTTCAGTGGGATGTAATCAGATAAACAGCTTGGTTGCACACCGGATTTTCTTCTTGTAGATTCAAGTAGGATAGTTTCAGAAATTCCTTTTCCCTTCAGGCCATTTATTCTAGAAGATAGAATATTTCTTGTATATTAAATATTTAAAGGTATTAGGGCACTGAAAGCAAAAGTGGGATTGAAAAAAACTAAGCCACTAAGTAAGAAGAATCATTCTGAGTGTGGCCTGAAAAAAAATTAACAGTAAAGGCATGATAAAGAAATAAATTCCTCAAATACAGCAACCATTACCAAAAGTGGCTTAAGCTAAAAAAAACTGGATAAATCCCTTTATTTAGAAAATAACATTTCTCACTCTTAGATTTTTTTTCTTGCATAGAAAACTGCCTAACAATTTTCCCAAGTATCCCAAGTCATCACAAGCAACAGCTGAGGGACCACTGCTTCAGGTCATAAGCACTTCAATACATGAAACTTGCATACACTGCATGCTTGACCGGTCCTCCACACAACAGTGTTTTAGGTTCTTTGATGTGACTTAACTGAAATATACATTTCATCTTAACACCACAGAGTAAAATGACAATACTGGTTTTATGGTCATGACAGAAGCCTAATATTGGTGTTTGCAGCAATTGTAGCACACTTGTAGTACTATAATTCAGCTAGTCCATTTCTTTATCATTTTTCAACCACATTTCAGGCTGTAACAGGTAAAGGTGAGAGTATACCAACAGGGTTATATTTAAAGTAGAAATTAAGTAACACCAATAACTACAGAACTCTCATCTTTGTAATAATTGCAGATTCCCCATTTCCAAATCCAAGGATAATTTTCCTTTTTCTGAGCAAATCAAAAACCTTCTGTAATAACAAGCTACAAAAGCACTAAGTGCTAGTAGGGAGAAAGACTCAAAAGCAGGGCTGCTCGTCTTAATAGGAGCAGTTCCCTAAACTAAACTGTCATGTACAGTTTGCCATCCATTCTCTTACTCCTACATTTCTATTATGCTTTTAACAGTATTTGAAAAATCCTAAATAAATGAGGATATATTCTTTCAGGGCATAACTTGACCTGTTTTCTCTCCTTTATAAGCAATGATGCAAATGAAACAGAGTGATGTTTATAACTCAAGATTATTCTATGGACTTAGTGGAAAAGTTTCATACAAAACAGTCAAGTTAAATGAACCACTGAAAGGGAAACAAATTGATAATGTTTTAGAAAAGAGGGCAAGAAAGAAAAATTTTAAAAATTAATTATTAATTCAGTATCAACATTTCTATGAATATTTATTACAGAAATTACTCTATGTATACCACAAAGCACATTTCTGAGCCAGAGAACACTCATCCTAGACATCCTAAAAGGGAAAAGGAGACAGAGAAGAAAACTGAATATTCACTGATATGCAGTGAAGCTGAGGTGAAGAGACAGAGGGAAGAAATGGGCCTGAGTACCTGTCCTTAAGTGGACAACTTTGCATTGCTGGTTTTTCTGAATTTCCAGACATCAGTGCTTTGGCTGCATTACAGATAATTTACCAGCTGGTATCACATGATGCCCTTCTTCAGATTACCACTAAAAGCAAGCTGGCAAGACCCAAGGGAGAAGAGAAGTCATCACCTGGCTCCTACTGTTACCATGACAAAGGGTAGAAGTGCTTGGACTTGTAGACCAGCCCCACAAGCAAACTTCCAGAGATGTCAATTCCTTAAAGGTAAGATTTCCGTGGGGAAAAAAAAATCTGATGTAAATCCATGGAATGATAAGTTTCACCCTGAGCAGTTATAATTTAGCATATATACAAGAGAAAACCAGAATTTTTTACCTCTTCAGGTTCAAGACATCAACAGCTCAGCCTACAAAAGTAGCACCTCAAAGTCACATAGAGAGAGCAAAGTGTAATGGAGAGTTACGTGCACGTAAGAATAAAAAACATGCAATTATAATGTAAGTTATCGGCACTAGTTATTCAGCAATGAATAATGTAAGTGCGTGTTAGACATACTAAGCTATTACAAAACCTGCTGTGTGTAGCCAAGTAATTTCAAAATTGAATCCACTATTTTTGTTCAAAACCAGTTGTACAGCCAGGGCAGTCAACAGGCACTGTTCATGCCAGACGTAACAGTAAAACATGAACAAAAATTCCCAGTTTCAGCATTTGGAGCAGCTACATAAAACACAAATCCATTATATCATTAACTGCATTAAGTATCTACACAAGAAATTTTCCATTTGCGTGATCTCTGCAAAAGTCAATAGAAAGTTTAAAAGAAAACTTTTAAACACATTTACTTTAGTATTTAAAAAAATTAAATGTAAGTTATGACATGCTTTTGTAAAAACAAAGTTATTGCTTAGGAAAAAAGTGTTTAAGGGATCAATTCTTATAAAGTAAAAAAAAAAAAAAAGGTCACCTACTGCCTCAAGGATTTTCACCATCAAGAGGAAGTTTTAACATAACATCTGATTTGAACAGCTAGAAATCTCCAACTTTAAAACACAATAAACCAATAAAGAAATTTAAGTCCACAATAAAAAGAAATATAGAAGAAAAGTTTATTTCTTGTGCAAAACTAATTTTAATATAGGCAAATTTTACCCACCAATTCAGATTTTAGACTAAGCTTCCTCTTCATATCAGCTATATTTTAATATCAAAAGCTAACTGCTGCAGTCAAGCCCTCCAGAATCCTGCTACTTCACAGCACAGAATGCATTTGCCTCATTCAGAAAAGTAGCCAGAGAGGGAATTTTACTGATACAGATAATTCCTAACTGGATGGCACAAGTTAATCATACAGGCCCACACAGCCTCCAATCCACTGAAAAGCAGCAACATGATGTCAAAGTTTTGCTTCCTGACTGTAGCAAGGTACCAAGAGGCACCCAAAGAACAATATGTACTATAAAGTACCTCACGAGTAACAGTGGTTTAGAGGGTGAAGTACCAATGATGATTCAGGAATGTTGCATTTTACTCTTTCTTCTGTCAATGACCCACACAAACTCTTTGGAAGTTATCTTGTCTTTGTGCTTCTCTATTTTCTCATTTTTAACACATTTTCTCCTATCAGAAGAAAAATAAGTATTCAAACATTAAACTGCAATGAATGCCTGTGGCCTCAATAACACACTCTGGATGAATTAAAACTGATATGGAGGTTTTGTTTGGTTGTTTTGTTTGTGTTTTTCTGTGGATTTTTGTCTGTTGTTTTGTGGGGATTTTTTAAAAGTTGTTCTTGAAAAAAAATAAGAAGGCAGTTTAGTTCTTACTGCTGATGAATTCCGCTTTGAAAAAAGATTACTCAAATATAAGCAGAAGCACTGAAGCCTATCTGATCATATAAGCAGAAGCACTGAAGCCTGTGCAGAGCCTAAAATAACAGGTTTAAGATGCAAGACGCTTCATATGCAAGAGTCAAGAACCTGTGGAGATGACAATTCTGCAGATAGAGATTTCGAAGTTCCCCCCCAACTGACCTCCCCTTACTTTGCCACACCACAGTACATTTCCTCCATGGAATTCCGCTTTTCTGAGCTGCAAGATGTCAGCATTACTTGTCTCCCTGTCTAGAGTAACTTTTGGCCCTCCATTCTACCACAGAAATAAAGTTATCACGAATGTTTCCTGCTTTACGTGACAGGGTTAGTGAGCAAGGTGCACTGAGCAGCGTTCCTCTTCTACCTTTAGCTCTACTTTTCAAGAACTATAGTTATTAAAAAAAAAAAAAGGCATTTTAAGAAAAAAATAGAACATGAACTACAAAAACACTGTGAAAAGAGCTCTTTCAAGAGTTCAGAGATCAAGACATACTGTACATACACTTTAAGAAGCACTGATTATAAAGCTGAGGCTTTGATATTTTTTCTAAATCTACAGGACTACTTTAGCAGTACCATTTTAAACACAACCCCCCCCAAACATCCTACTTGTTGAGATATACTTGTAAAAATTGCCAAACCTTATCATAACTAATGAAG